TCCTTAATTAATATCGATCAGAGTTGCCGGCAGGTCAAACCAGGCCGATTGATGTTTCTGATTTCGTTAATACGTTTAGTTTTACAACTTTGCATTAATGTATCATTCCAGTTAATATAGTACGAATCAGAGACTGACACCGAGCCCGAGTACTCCGCAACTGGACTCGACTCAGACCGAGTCGAGTTTGCCTCGAAGAAATCGGGATTTGGAAAGTCTTCGATAAATCTTTGAGAAGTTTTTTGTCAAAGACTATTTTGATCCCTTGGTTGCTCGATATGTCACGATGTTCTACAGAACGACGAATCGCTAGAAATTCATTCGAACTTTGTCGGATACGATCGACTCTAGGTGAAATCCTTTATCTTTCTTATGCTCATTGAAATCGCATTATAAAAACTAGAAACCGTTTCGCACTGCATTTATGTAGTCCTTTGCTAGTTTTCTTTTTTAGTTTTTACTTACTAGACATACACATAGGAACTTATCATTTTCTGTTACGATGATTTCGAAGACGGAGAATCAGAAAATACGCAGATATATACGTTCTTGTTCTGTCCCATTCACACATCAAAGAAGGTAATGGGTTTGTAGGCAATCTTTTTCTGTAGAAAATTCTTATATTTCAAATCAAAGCTGATCACATCTCTTCAGGTCTATATCTTTGCTACCATAGGCGGCGGAGCTCAACATAATAAACGAATAAAAAATAGATACAATTAAAAAGTACCAAAACCCACTTTCTTTGTTCATTTCCGGATGTAAATGTAGAAAAAATACTGTTCAAGTCAATTGAATCCATCTTAATCTTGTAAGTATAGGTCAGAAATGCGTCGTTCAAACGAGTTTGTGTCATGGTCGATCGGTAGCATGTCTTCATGTGGTTCATCACGCAAAATGATCTTTCCGCTGTAGCCGTGGTCACAGGTATCGTTAGATACAGATTAAGAGCCAATTATACTGATGAAGCATTGTTTTTCAAATAAGTTGCTTGTTCATAACATCGATAATTGTCGAAATTTTTTGTTATTTTTACAATTTCCATCTATTTGATGTGAATTACTATTCGATAGAAATCTCCAACCATAGAACATTCATACTTTAATCGTTCACGGTCAATATCATGGACAATAAAATCTTGTATTTCAACGAAAGAATTATTATCGATGGTGGCATGAGAATCATTCGCGACCGTACTCAAAAAATCTTCAACTCGGCACAACACATGAAAGATCGTTTGTTTGAATCGGCTGTCCAATGCTTTGAGTATATTATCAATTACATGCTGATATTGTTTTTTGTAAAATTTGTCACACGTTTGATAGTTTTTCGGCGTCGAAGTGCCTTCTATGATGAATCAAGCAGGTCGTCGACGAACACGTGGTAGCCTTCGCTCATCAGTGTAATGTTTTGATTCACTCAATAATTTTACATAGAAAAATTTAAAATGATCATCTGTCCTAATTCAAGTGAAATAGCTGATTAAGGCGTTGACGACTGACAATAAATCTCCTAGATACTGATTGTCAATACCATGCAATGAGCAAGAAATTCTTTCGGCAGCTGCGAAAATAAGGTGACCTAAGAGATCAAAATTAATTTAACTGTTCAGTAAAGCAATCATAGATGACTTTTCTAAAGAGTTCTAAGTTGTGGCAATAAACTTCAGTTTGTTGCCAGTAAAGATGAAAAATTCTAGAAGTGAACTTACCTAATTTCATGCCAGAACAAATTTGAAACTTTTTCATTTGATTCAGCCACTTTAATTGCCGGCTTCCTCTTTTCTTCAACTAATTCTTGCATGACCCATTTGGTATGCTGATAATTCATCTACAAAGAGTTCATTGATGGTGTTCGAACTGTTCACTGAGTGAGACACAAAGGTTTCAAATTTGCGGGGAAAATTGATGAATCAATCGACAGTTTCTTGGCGGTATTCAATCGTTTGGATGATTTCCGAACAAATTGAACAATATCTTTCGTAATATTGAGAGCTATGTCAATTGCAACAGTCTCTTGTTAAATCTTGTAATATCAAGTCCAAACAATGTGCATTGCCGTGGATGAAATGGGCATTCTTTGATTTTCGAAGAATAATGGTGGTAACATCATTATATATGTGTTACTCATTGCTGCAGCTTGGTCGTAAACTTGGTCACGACATTTTCGATATTCAGGTTACACCGAAGAAGAACGCCTAGAATTACTTGTGTGATGTTATTCAGCATCCTGAGATTCTAGTTCATAAAGGTCAAGAGAGCGTTCATGTATACCGAAATACTCAGTTGTGTTTTGGTGGATTCATCCGTTGTCTCATCGCAGATGAAGGCATAAAGCGGTCGATTCAAAATCACATTACATAAAAGCAATAAATATTTTTGTCAAGAAGTTCAGGTTTTAAATTTCACCTCTGTAGACACACTTCTCAGTATAACAAGCGCCATTTTCTTGGCTAATTCATTGATAATATCATGAGAAAAATATTTCCTTTCATTCAACCATTCATTCAGACCCGGAATATCATCGCATCTCAATTTTATCAATTGAAATAGGTTTCCTCCGTCTTTGGTATGCCATCGGAAGGTCATGCCTTGCCGCAAAAGATATTTTAATTATGAGACTTATGCGATTATAAATGATCATCGTCATTGTTTCTGTTGCTTCTTTCGATGAATACTTTGATCGACAATAAAAACAGTACACTTTTCGTTGTCTACATTTGAGAAAAAGTGAAAGTAGGCATACATTGTCATCTCACAAAAAAAATAGCAGTGTACTCTGCAGAAAATGAGCCAAGTAAGCATTTGGATCAGAACTCTTTGCAAGATCGTTTGTCTTTTATTGCTGTTGATTGGTACTCCGACGCGAAAGCTGACACCTATGTTGTTGATGAGGAACAACAGGCTAAGTCACATCTCGACTGGTGCTCTCCTGGTTGATTGTTGAAGATGATATCTCTTCGTCTCGTTGATCATCACTGATGACAATAAGTGCATCACTCTAAACATTCACTTCATCCTTTGTTTCGTCATTCGATGGTGATAAATCAATATTGTTGTCACTTTCTGTTGTTTCCACTTCTTTTCTCGTTTTCATCGAGAAAAACGGATAAATGACTGGACGCTTTTCTGCCATTGAATCCCTGTGGTTTTTCTGTTACATCTAACCTTCATTTTTCTTCTTTGTTTATTTAAATCAAATGACAACTATATATAGTCATAAGAATTGGGAAAAATCCATGGGATGAAATATCCCATATATGTGAAAGAGAGACAAGGGAAACTACAACGGAGAGACCAAACAAAATAATCCAGGCACGACAAGAAGAGAATAGCATATACATATAAGAAAGAAAGAGAAGAGGCGTGAAAACTATGTATTGTCGTGGGATGTCAAGTTCAAAATTAGGTGAGGCTAGTCCTCAATTGGCAAAAAACAGGTAAGGCTTAAGCCTTTAAGTCTCAATGGCTTCACCGCCTATGATTTTATTGTTTTTGATCTTAAAAAGTTTTTCTGTCAGTGAATGTAAGTCATACAGCACTAAATTGGCGTTTTGTCGAAACATTTGCTGCCGGAATCAAAAGAAGAATTCGTTAACGTATTTATCTAGTTTTTGACATACCTGAGGACAAGAAAAGTAAAAGATGTACAAGTAAGTATTTTTGAATAAAATCTCGTGATGGCTCATTATGAACATAAATTACAATGATTACACTAATTTTAATGAGGATTCGTTCTCTGTAGCTTTTCGAAAATTCAAAACAAGCAACAAAATTTATCAATTCATATCGATTAATATCGAATCAATATTGTTAATATAATTGCTACTAATTAAGGTATTTTCTCATCAAATAACCGAATATTTAGATTAAAATCAATTTTAAGTGCTAATCGAAAAAGCATGATGATAATTTTTTTATTATAGTATTATATGATAAATGAGATGACTTAATTTGTTTGCTAATATCAATAAATTGTAAACAATATGGTATTCATTATAAGATTTCCATCATGATTGAGAAAACAAATTTAGTTAGTCGATCGAATAATTGACATTTTGTCTGCTAGATTAATAATGAATTTGAAGAGACATAAATAATAGAATGAATTATTGAAAAGGAACGAATCTCGTACAAAAAGATCATTTAAAATTTCAAATGGTTATTAAATAGAATTATTTTAAAAAGTGGTTTAATTTCAACAGAAAATTAACAATTTAGCTGATCAACTAATAACAGAGATTTGGTTTGTGGGTCATTAAGTATTTTTTTTTAATCTTTTCATATTTCTAGAATTAAGGAGAAATGGAAATACATATTACAATATAATCTCTCTATAGTGGATACCCTTATTCTAGATATCTGAAGGGTATTAGTGAATAACTTGTACAGTTCTTCTTTACTTCTATCGAAGGAGTATTACTTTAAGCCGTTGACACTGTGGAGACTAACATTTAGTCATACAAAATTCAATGTTGCCTCAAGAACGTTTTCCAAATTTGTTTCATTACAAAAATGGTACTATTGATCTTCCAAGACAATAGAGGATATTAACGTTTATGTAAGAAGTTCGATGTACTGTCTAAATCTATCAATCTAATGAAACGAGAAACGAATATTTAAACCTATGATATCTGAATCAGGCTAGATTTCTGCTAAGTAAGCCAAGTCTCATGGCTCCGCACGTCAGAATACATTCAATAGGTTCATATAGTGATAGAATAGTTTGAATTTGATTCAAATTCTATTGTCCTATCCTCATCAGTAGTATATAGAATCTTATTGGAAACATTTATTGAGTTGCACTGGAAAAAGAAGAGAGCATATGAACAATAATGAGAATTATTAAAAAAGCATTTTTTTTTTTCATTCATTCGCTTGATGGTAATTATTTATTTTTCAAATGAATGTTTGTTATTTTTATCTTCTTGTTTTTTAACAAAAAACAATACAACAATGTTCGGAAAGAAAATTGCCATTGTCGTTGTTGTTGATGACCATTTATAATTTAAGTTTGGTACGACGAAAGTGACGTCGTTTTGAGTTATATCGAATTGTATTACCAGTACGCATACGAATCTAAATGAAAGAAAAACTTGTATCATTAAAAACGATTGTAATTTTAAATATATTAAATACCCATTGTGGAACAGGTCGATTTTGTTTCTGTTTTTTGGCAAGAACTTTTTTTATTTTAAGTGTCTTATGTGAAGGCATCTAAATGATTTAAAAAGTATGTAGGAATGTAAAGAAAATATTTCAATGCTCTCAGGGAAAACTTGGTGATTAGTCAACAGTTTATATCTGTCGGTAAATTTATCATCATTGAGCATATTTTTAAACATTAATCAATGTTAATATAAATACCTTATATGATCAAATATTCCAACGATCGAGATGATAAAATATCTGAAGTAGATTTAAATAATTAATTAATAAGAATTTTTCTTATATTCTTATAAACTTGTTAAGAAGTATTCAATTTTCTCTTAGTTGATTTTTAATGTCTAATTGATGTGTTTTATTTTATGGTGTGAAAAAGAATATTTTATTTTACTTCGCGAAAGTTAGAAGAAGTCTTGTATGATACTAATACAATTCCAACAAACATTGAATGTCACCCTCGTCAATATGATATGTAAGCCGATCTGTTTGATAGTTCATGTAAAACCTGAGCATAATAGAAAATATTTGTTTTCTAATTATTTCCAACGCTTTCTTATCAAGATTACTGACAAGATCAGTTTATCTCAGTCCTGTCTCATCTGCTTTTTTGTTGATTTCTATATAAATAAACTAGTCCCCTGACACGAAAGTAAACAGCTTTATATACAGAAAATAAAAGATCTTCCGTGGTCAATCGACAATAGTTACCAATTGATAGAATTGTAATTTTTTATAAAAGTAATAAACAAACGAAAATTCTTACTGCTCACAAAATCGAAACCAAATATTTTAAAGCAACTTCTATAATACGAGAGCCTCTTTGTTAAAAAAAAACAACAAATTATGCCTCTTTCGAGTTGTATTTCAATGAACCAATCATTTTTCTATTGCAATATCCTTGAAAATAAAACTCCATTGAATAAATCTATTATATTAAAATAAAATTTAATAATAATAAAAAATTTTCGTTTTAGTTAATTTACTTTTATATGTAACTGTTAGTTTCGTTAAATCGTAGATGTCACCACTATCTTAATATAATGTTACATTATTATTTTGATATTATTAAGCCACATTACAATGCATAAACATATACAATGTAATGGTCGTAAACAGTACATAACTGCAAAATAATTAACAAATATACAGGATGATAGAGAATTTCAAGCTCTATAAAAATCTGTGATTGCTTTTTAAAAATAAATTTTTTCATAAGAATAATACATTTAAAAAGAGAACCCCATAAGCAAAGAAAAATGCACATTTTTTATACTTGCCAATTGACGGTGCCTTCACTGTAATCAAATTTTCTTTTCGATAAATGAATATAAGGAAAAAAGAAAATATACAGGGTGATGAAGAATTTCAAGCTCTGTCAGATTATATAATTACTTTTTTCAGAAGATAATTCTATAGTGATGAAATGTTTTAAAAACTAATTTTGGAGACAGTGACAAAATCAAGCCTGTGGGAAACTGAACATGAGGGTGCCTTCATTACACACAATCTTTTTTTGGTAATACATATATATTAAACGAAAAGGCAAATATACAGGCTGATAGAGAACTCCACGAGCTTTCAGAATATATCATTATTTCTTTAAAAATACGCTGCTATGATAACGATATCCCCAAAATATAGACTAAAGCTTATTTTTTCCAGGCGTATATATATATATATATGACAGACATGGGCGGGCCGGCATAGGAGCGAGAGGGGGTAATTGCCCCCCTAAAAAAATTTTTTTGGCTGTGACT